TTTATGGAACGAAATAAGAAGCAATGATTCTAACACTATTCAACGAGGTAAGCATTAATAGATCATTTCAACTTTTACTATTAGCTAAACTTTTATCCCTTCAAAATAATATGTCCATTTTAAAAACTAACTTAACAGTTCGCTTATTGTAATAATCATGTGTGCTATTAATTATCTCTAGTAACAGTGTTTTTGTATCCTTCCTATGAATGCATAGATTATTGATTTTATCTTTTCAATCAATATTTTATCATGTATTTATTTTCTGAAATTTGAACATAAATTAAATCCTATTCTGAAGCATTAAATTGTAGCAATGAAGATGAAGCATAAAAATATCACGCAACTGTCCAAATCTCATTCTGTCCCCAATGACGCGAAATGTAATGATGCTGTCATGCGTGAAATAATCATTCAGGTTACTTTTTGCTTTATGCAGTTGAAAGTGACTGTATTTTAATTTAAAAAATATTATAGAACTGGAGAAAAATTTTGTATAAATTTTACATTTTAATTTGAAAAATATATTATATACTGAAAAAAAATTTACATAAACGTAAGTTTATTTCAAAAAAAAAGAAAAATAAATTTACATAATGAAATTACGTAAGTATCTCATTCATTTCTATTAAAAGTTATAAAATATCGTTTTTATGACTAAAATAATAAATTTGATTACAAACGATAAATTGTTCAAAACGATTTTTTTCCTTTAATTGGATAATTTTGTTTGTGCAAAGGAAAAAAATAAATTTGCATAATCATAAATTGTGAGATTACNNNNAAAAAAAAAAAAAAAATGTCATTTCATCTCTGTGAAATATAACGCATCCCTTCAAAAACGCGACTATCTTTTTTTGAAAGATTTTTTTTTTTATTTTTCTATGAAAGTTATCGCATTTCTTGTATTGCACTGATAAAAACATGCAAATGTTAGAGAATGCAACTGATATGAATTTATGATAAACCCAATAATATTGCATAAAAAAAATTTAACTGTGTGAAAATACTGATAGATGATTGATAACTAATACATCAATCGCGGAATGCTTTAGCATTTATTATAAATTTGGAAATTTGATTGTTACGACAACTTTAGAGATCTATAGAAATCCAAAAAAAAATATTGATGTAAGATGAAATTTACATAAATTCTTTAATTTTCACTTCTTTTGAACAGATTAAAAATTTGTTTCCTTCATAAATTAAGTAAATGAATTTGATAAGAATTTTAATTGGATAATATTGGATTTAGTGATTTTAAATAAAAAGAGCCATAATTTTTTGTTTGGAAGAAAAAGAATTGTGAATATTGAAGATTTCAAGCGGGTTTGCCTTTAAAAACTTCTAAAAAGTATTAATCCATAATAATTAAACTTTTTTGTTAAATATATCATTTAATGATCACTTACTTATGCGGCCATACAGTACCGATGTAAAAAATTCAATGATACATTGCAATCTGATAAAGTAACAAAGGATCTATCAATCATTTTTTTTCCACCATTGTTCTAAAAATTGTGGTAAAAATGTAACATTTTTAATTATAAATTAAGCGATAAACTATTAGAAAATCTTTGAAAATTAAAATGTAATCGAAGAATTGTTAAATGAAGTAATCCAACTTATGATTTAAGCTTCAGTTAATTAGAAATGCGAATTAATCAATGGACTGATTTTCATTTCTTGTCGAAATTTTACTTTCATAAAAAAATATTCGATCATTTTAGAATATTCATTCGATTCCATCAATAGCAAAACGACAAATTCAATTAGCAGTACGTAAGAAATTCAGCGGTTTTATCGATGCAATTTGTTCCAACAAACCATTTAGCTATTTGATAAATTCAGATTTGTATTGTGAAATTGAGAAGCACAACGTTACATGCTTAGTATTCGGTCAGACTATTCGATAAGTCGAGATTGCATACTGCTTCCATTTACAAATAAAAATATTTAATCGATAATTATTACATTAATATTTGCATTTAATACTAAATCGTAAAAAGTGATGTTAAAAGAATTTTTTTTTTAATTTGTTGTAATGCACTTTTTTCTGTTCTTCAATTTTTTAAACACCGAAAATCATATAAATGTACTAATATTGAAAACGATGACTAATTGGCATTTAAAAAAAAAAAAAATAGAAAAATTTACTGGATGATCAAATAATAAGCTCTGTAATGCATAAAAAAAAACGTTATTTTTGATATGATTGTCAAACGATAATATCAACAAAATCAAGCATATTTTTTGAATTTTGATTAAAATTAAACTTTCCATCGAAATATTCATCGTTTATTCATTTAAAAGCTGAAAAATGATTTATTTAAAAAATTTGAAAAAGAATTGAAATTCATTATAAATTAAAATACACTGATATTTTTTTGATAAATGTGAGGTCGTATAAATCAAAATTAATCGATATATCTGTGCGAACTATTTTGCATTTGATGACAATATCAGAGAAATTATTGTACTAATATTTTTTTTTTTGTCGATTGATATCAAAATTACTAATCTCATTACTAATCATACATCTTTCATTCCTGATCTCACCTAATATCGAATAAGTCTAACAAACGTAAAGTAAAGTACCTAATAAACGTGACTTGCCTAATAAACATGATGTTAACTTTGGAAAAAAAGGAAATGTCAGTACAACTATCATTCGGTTTTTGTTATTTTTCAGTTTGTTTATTAACATATTCAATTTATTCATTTCACCTTAGATTCCATAAATACAATATTCTGCCTGAAGGCATTTCATTACATCGGAAATTGATAATACTGTATAGAACATAAAAATTTACAACAGAAAGAGTGTGGAAAAAAACTTTCATTTAGTGAAAAGAAGCGTTTTTTGTTAAATTTGCGCAATCGATTGAGTTATTACTGTCGTTATGGAGGCAGGTAAATGATTGGTGATTAATTTTTTTTTTTCCTCAATAGGACTAGAAAATTTCAATGATTCATTCACAAAGTAATTTTCGAAAATTTTTAGAAGCTATACACTTATTTATGTATTACCTTATTGAAAAAAAAAAAGCTTCATTTATTACTGAAATTTTGATGATATATTTTGATATGATATGATTTAGAAAATTCATTAGCAAAATTTTAACAATAGATCAACGTTTTTTTTTTTTTTTTTTAATAGGGTAATATGTAAATAATTGTATAGCTTCTAAAAATTTTCGAGAATTACTTTTTGAAGGATGTTCATCTGTTTTAACATTTTTTTTCCCTTCATCCCCAATTTTCATATTTCACATTTTTTTCTAAAACGTAGTAAATCAATTCAGGAAACTGAATTGACACCTCTCACGTAAGTGATAAATGCGTTAGTTATTAATCAAATACGCCAAATTTGGTAGTGCAAATGATACAGAATTTCATTTGAATTTGATACCTTATATTTTAAATTTTTTAAAAATGACTTATTGTGTATTCTGGAAATTCTAGAAATTGGCTCTTTTGAAATTATTTTAAAGTTGAGAAAAAATTTTTTAATTATGTGGTGAAAATCTTTGGAGTAAAAGTTTTATTCTAACTGAGAAAGAGAGAGAACATTCAGTATTTAAGCCCCAAAGAATTCCAGAGAATCATGGATAGAATAGAATAGAATAGTATCAAACATTTATTACTGGTGGGGACCTATTCTTAAGTATTACTTAAGATTTTGATATTATTAATATAGAAATTTAACTTGGCAAAATTTAAGTTTTTTACATTTTACTACTTACTACCAATATTTAAATCTCAGGATTTTATATTATTTAATTACAGAAATGCTAACTAGAAATGCTAATTGAAAATCTTCTGTCCTAGGCTCTTTCTACAAAATATCTTACTGCCGATTATATAGCCAAATTATTTCTTTGCTCAATTAGCCAAATAATTATATCGCTTTTCGAACATACGATCTGTCACCGTGTAACATTTACCAAAAATGTCCAAACAGTTACATTACGATTACGGTCAGTACAACATATTATACACGAAGTTACGAGAATTCTTTACGTCAAACACGTGTGTGAAATTACGTAAAATTCAATTTCCATTGTTATCAGAAAAAATTACGCCTTTCTCAATTAATGGAAATTTCGTTTTTCTTTTTCGTTAGCATTATGCTAACCTTATTTTTCACTCAATTTCTTCCTTTTTTTCCAGAAATTTGAATCAATTTTTAAAATGTTATTTACAAATGTAATATTTCTTCCATCAATTCTACTCTTCACATTCCGCGAGCTATCTGCAAAACAGATCGATGGAATAATATCTGACATATCCATGAAAAAAGCCACTGTTAGTACCATCAAGAATAACCATAAGCAATAACTTACTGATGTTATTCGTTTATGACATATATTAATTAATTAATTAATTAATTAATCAATTCCTATCGGTTTTACTGAGATCGATTCATTAGCATTATTAATTGAAGATATGCATCATGTTAAATGTATGTTTAGTATTCATCGGAAGTAATTTTTAAGGAATATTAGTTATATATTTGAAGATTTATTGTTCAGGAAAAGAGATAGAAAGAGGGAAAGAGAGATAGAGAGAATTTTATTTTCTCTTTATATATGTTTACTATTTTAATATTGTGAAGGGTTTAGGATTATATGTAGGTTTAGGATTGTAAAAGTTAATTTTTTTTACAAAATTATTTATCTCTTTATTTCACAATGCTTTTTTCTTTATCTTCCAAGGATTTAGTAAAAAATATTTAAATTTCATTCCTAATTTTAATGAATTATTAATAATTTTGTAGCAATATCTTAGCAATTATGGATATCTGAAAGAGACTGTCGTATCATTCCTACCAAATGCGCCATCTACTGAAGCTATTGTACAGCTCAATTCAGTAACAATTCGTGATGCACTCAAGTAACGGTTCTTTTTTCGTCACTTTTTTTTTTTTAAAATTGAAATGTCATCCCTAAGAAATTGAACTTTAATATATAGCTTATAGTAAGTGCACTTTAGACGATTTCAAAAATTTGCGGGTTTGAAACCTACCGGTAAATTGGATGCAGCAACCGAAAACAAAATGCAGCAAAAACGTTGTGGTCGTCCGGATATAATAGCATTACGACAGCAAGGTTAATGGTTTTTATGAAATTAAAAGTTTCCATTATCAATTTTGCTAATTCAGAAAAAAAAAAGAAATTTTAAATGACAAACGAATGATTTGCATAAATTTTACAGGTAAATATAAATGGGAGAAGAATGATTTAACTTATACCATTGAATCGTTAGCAAATGAATTGTCTGAAAGTGAAGTGAGGTATTACTAAATTGTTGAAATTTTTTTTTCGCTTATTATTAATAGTGTAATAGTTAAGGAAAAATTAATCGTAAAAAAAAAAATAAAAAATTCACAAATCAGTACTTATTAATATTATTTTTTGTAATCTCTCAAAAAATGATTAGCTTTGTTTTTTAAATTTTTGTCAAAATTTTATTCTAAAAAAAAAAAATATTGATTTTTTTTTTTTTTTAGAGAAGCGCTCCGCAAGGCATGTGATATATGGTCAGCAGTGATACCTTTAACTCTAAATGAAAGATCCAAAAATGCTGATATTACAGTTGCTTTTGCACGACGCATGCATAATGATCCATGGCCATTTGATGGACAAGGTGAGAATGGTATAAAAATTTATTCTGCACAAAAGAAATGTGCTTTTATTATAAACTTATGCAAACTTAGTGAGTTTAGAAAATCCGTATTCAAATCAATTTAAAATCCATATCTGATCAATTTAAATTAAATCTGTACTTGATCAATTTAAAACCCATATTCGATCAATTTAAATCAAATTCTTATTCGATCAATTTAAAATAAATCTGTAATTGATTAATTTAATATCCATATTCGACCAATTTAAATCAAATCCGTATTCGATCAATTTAAAATTCGTATTCGATTTAAATTCCTAGCCATAAACAGTTTTCAAGGAAAATCAAATCGTATAAACATATCATAAAAGTGAAATAAATATCAACAATGTGCCAAGAAGAAAGTAAAATAAGAATGTATGCTTTGTTGTAATGAAATTTTTCATAATTAGTAAGAGGGATTCAAAAATTTGAATTCTTCTCTTTGCACGTTTCAGGAGGAATATTAGCACATGCAACATTACCATCTTCCGGTATTCTTCATTTTGATTCAGACGAGAAATGGGTCTATATGAATCCAAAAGCTATTTCAAAGTGTGCATTGATAATTTACAACTATTTTTTTTACAGTAATCATTTTGTACTGTTTATTCTTTATGGAAGCAAAAGTGGAGAAAAAAACACAGAGAATGATAGAAGATGATGAAAGCATATAATTTGGTTAAACCAAATAACTTATTCATTAGTCATTCATTAGTCTGTTAAATATTTGGAACTATAACTTTGACTTGCCATTTAAAAAAAATAAAAATTAAAAATTGAAATTAAATTGTGAATTGTGTTATTTGTTTGATTTGATTTGGGAGAGCTTTGTGGTTATGTAATACAACCGAATTTATTGGTGAAAGTTTCTTGACGGAGAGTCTTAATTTTTTTTTTTTTTTTATGGGGTTAGTTGTATTTCCTTAAAGTGAGAGTTCATAATCACAATCTATCAGATTACAATCTGATGGATTAGTCTTGGATTCGTTATTTGGATCTTGGTCTAGAATACTTGTTCCAGATTTTGTTGACTTCGATGTGATGATTACGCTGATTAACGTAGTTATTATTGGATCGAATAGATATACTGAAGTTGACTGTGCATAAAGCTGCCAGAATGAAAATCATCAAATTTAGCAGTAGATTTAATGATAGCTACAAGCAGATATGATTAAGCGTATAGGTATTGAAATGGATGAAAAAATGGCCCAACCTCATGGTATATTTGACTATATCCCGATGTGAGGGTGCGAGTATGGTAGATCGATAATGGGCTTAATAGATAACCCTGGGGTCAGACAATGTCATGTTGGGGGAGGAAGAAGCAAAGAGGACAAAGAGCTTTCTGGAATTACTGGTTAGCTGCATCGGAAAAGACAAAGAACAATTAAGGGAGCACAAAGGTATTATAAAACAATCTCTTAATGATTTATAGCAACACAATGAGGTCCATACTACGGGAAATTAAATTTAACAATGACAAATTGTGAACTGCAGCTTCCTCAATTTAACTATCGGAATAAATTCATATATTTTACTGAGGAATATTTCTAATGAATTTGATTTGATAATTTTGTATTATGGATTAATTCCGGATTTCCTGACACGTAGCAAAATTTTAATAACATCAAAAACAGGATCATAGTGATACGGTTTCAACTATTGAATTATTAAAATCCATCAAATTTTCATTTTTTTTTTTCAATAGTGGATATAAGTAATTGATATCTTGTTTAAATGCATAAAATTTTCTTGCTAATTTGAAACATTAGAATTTGAATCATTCCTTAATCGTATGAGCAGAAAGTTAATCGATGAATAAAACGGTCATATAATGCATTTATTGAAAACAATAAAATCATTTATCAATGATTTATCAGTCCCTCATTTCTGATAGGTCGTCTAATTTAATTATATTCACGTTTTCTTTAGCGATGATAACACAGATGTACTACAAGTATCAGTCCATGAAATTGGACACATTTTGGGCCTCGAACACTCCTCCGATTCTGATTCCATTATGGCACCATTTTATCAGGAATCGGTGGACAATGATGGAAATTATATCATGCCTAAATTATCCGTATCTGATATTAAAAATATACAACATCTTTACGGTAACTTATTGATTTTTTTTCTAAATTAATTAACTTTAATAGCTACCCATGGATGAATCGTTTTTTTTTTTTAAGTGACGAAAGAGTTGATGGAACGATAAGATGATTATGTTAGCTAAGATTTAAATTCATTAATTAAATGTTATAAATTAATTGAGAATTAATAGTTCATCGATTGCTTTGTATGTCAATTTTTAGGAGTAAATGATAAAAGATCAAATTCACAAAGTTCAACAGGTATTGATTGATGGTATTGATTGGTTTGTGAGAAATGATCAAAAAAGTACAATTGCATAAAAAGCTTTTAGATTTTTTTCTTTCCAATGTTTACGTCATACACTTTGGTTTTTTTTTTTTTTAAATTTTTTTTTGCTTCAAGAATTCTCGTACTATTATCACTATCATCAGTGATAGTAACATTTAAAATAATATCGAAATTGTTTTAAATTATCTTTTAATACTGATATTGGCAGCAATTTAGAGAATGATTTTGATTTTGAAGTTCATCGACCATCGAATGATGATAATGAATCAAACAATGATAATAAAATGAATGTCAATTGTCCGAGTGAAGTTGATGGTATCATTACAAGTAAGCGCATTTTACATTTAAAGGATAATTAATAGCTATTCACAATGTATGATATAAAAAGATAAATGATCGGATTATCGAATTAACTCAAATTATCAAATAATTGCGTTACTTGCGAAAATTTCTTCGGTGAGTTGAGTTCAAATTTAAATTTGATAATGCACCACAATTATCATCATATCATACTATGAAAAGATGACATTAAATGACGAAGAAATTTTAATGCATAATTGATTTTTAGCAAATGGTTCAAATTATTTGTTCAGTGATAACAAAGTGTATAAATTTGATCAGAGAGGAATCAAAAAAGAATATTTCTTAAAAAATCTTTTTCCAAGTGCACCGCCGTTTGTTCAAGGTGCTTTATCAAATTCACGTACTAATAAAACGCTTCTATTCTATGGAAAAATGGTATATTCTTATTTAAATTAAATTTTTGCACTTTGTTTTTTTTTTTGTTACTGGTTAAATTAATTTATGGGAAGTTGTATTAGTAATTTAGAAATTGAAGCTAATATTAGTTAACAATTTTAGTTACTAATGTTAGTTAGTATTAGTTATCTTCTAATCATTTACATTTAGCCAAAATTAATAAATTTTTTGAAATTTTCAATATTTGGAAATACAATCAGATTTCAAAATGGATTAGCTATCCATCATTGCATTTCTAAAATAATAAATGATTCAGGGTAACTTTGTTAATTTTGACTAAATTTCAAGTAATTTAATAATAAATAAATTAATGGAAATTTCATTTATTTTCAGCAATGTTTTTTTTTTCCATTTATTTCTTCGCCTGCTGCACATCATCATCCAATGTATTACCATGAGATCAAAGATTAAATAGGACGATTTGTGTGAAATGATTAAATATTTTCTAATTTTAATTGCAAATGAAAACTTCCACAAGCAAAACAAAACAAAACAGAAATTTTTTTCGCAGATTTTTGCATATCATTTGGAGAGGAATAGAAAGAAATTTGTGTTAGAAACAAATTACCCGAAGAAATTACCAGCTGCTCTAAATTTCAAACCGATGGGTGCATTTTTATGGCATGAAGGATCACAGGTTTTAATTAATGTAAGTGTTTTAAAAAAAAAAAATTTTTTTTAAAATTCTTTTGTTTGCAAGAAAAAATGGAAGGATATATGTGGTCACCAGTGACATCAAGCTTACTTTGAAAAAGCTCTGAAAAGATATGCTGTCAATTAGCATTAAGGAAAGATGGAAAAATTAAAATGAAAAGAATACTTATTTAACATAAATATTTAATTGTCGTGAAAATTAATAATTAAAGAAATAAAAGGTGATTGTGAAATATGAAATTATATCGATAGATAGTTTCCATTCTAATTGTTTTATATCAGATAGCTTTTTCAAAGTAGGCACATTGAAATATTTTCTGATTACTATTGAAAATTGATTGACATTGCAATACCGATCATTAATTTCAAATTATTCATACATCGCTTTTCATATATATTTTAATTCCCACAAATTTTTCTTACTTATTTATTAAAATTTGTTTTTTTTCCTCTCCTTTTTTTGCTAGAGAAGATGCTAATTTTTGTTTTGCCTTAAATGGGAAATAGAATTTAAAAAAATTTACATCAATTTACTTTTGACTTTCATTTTGAGGGTAATCATTTTGCAACATATGATGAGAATTGGAATCATGTCACATTACAGAACGAAGTGATGAATTATTTTGATAACTTTCCAGCAAAACCAATTCGAGGTAATAAATTATTTTAAAAAGATTTGATACAAAAATTGTTAATCCCATCATCATTCGTGCTAATTTTTCAATTTTTATAATATAAAAATTTATTGATGGAATATTAAAAAGAAGATATCACATAGATTTCAAAGATAATAGTACTGCTATAATTTTATATATCTCATGAATATTAATTAATTTATCGGCAAAAAAAGTTCATAGTTGTTTGTGAATTAGAAAGGAATTGGAAAATTGTCGGTTGAAAGAAAGTGAAATTTTATCATAATTTGATTGAATTAGGAAGCATTCTGAAATATATACAATTTAGTCAAAAATCCTAAATTAAAATTTTTCAAAAAAAAAAAACATTTTCTGATGGCTTTTACAAAATGATAAATGGATATTTTAATTGGAATTCTAAATTTTTCAGGTGTACTTATTCGGGGGACGAAGGTGCTATTGTTTGGTGATAATAAAGTTTACAAATATGATATAAATAATAAGAGAGTTATTGGAAAGGCTATACCATTGAACATATTTCTTCATTGCTAAATGTTCCTTAAAAAGTGTAAATTAATTTTTGTTCAGTTTGTTTTAGTCATTTTATGTTTTAATTTTGAAGATTTTTTTTTCACGTATTTACGGTGGGCAACGATTGTACAATTTAGTGATTAGTTTGAAGTTGTCGGAGAAGTATGCTAATAGAATGATTGAAAAACATATAGATCATAATTTTATTCAAACAAGTATTAGAATTGATTCTTTAAAATGGACAGTATTAAAAATGGCGAGTATTACAATGGACAGAATTGAAAATGACAAACGAAGAAAAAAAGACTTGTTATCTCTTATATTTAAAAATTATCACTTTTTATCCTAATAAAAATTAGATAAAAGGAAAAAATAAAATATTCGAATATTGTATGGAATATCAAATTCGAATATTTCTCCACCATATACAATCCGGCGGTAATGAGTTATGCAACTTCGTCAAACAGCATATATTTTTCGAAATTAAATGAAAAATTTCTCAACACCTCTACCAATTGATGAAAACAATAATTTTATCATTGCTAATTAAGCATGAATGAATAATGCGTCTAATACAGAAATCATTTTACAAAAAAGGATAGTGCAAAAATGAAATATATATCAGTCATCTGATATGTTTATTGATGATATCATCCAAAGCTGTTTCCAGTGGTTCATTTATCCCTCTGATGTTCCGTAACAAATCCTTTGCAAATAAAATATATTCCGTCACTTGCTGTTTTGTCCAACCGAATGGTGTGCCACGCTCGATATCACGGATATTATACAGCTTATCCGCTAAATGTACAAGCTTTGCCTGAAATGATCAGTTTTGAAATTTATCAACTTTGAAAAGACAAATATGTTGCGCTGTAAAAATAAACATTAAAAGGGAAAACCGAGGATAACAGATAAGCGATAAACTGATACAGTAATTTAATATCATTGATGTTATTCATTCATTGAATACAAAATTCGTTATTTTCTTTCTATAACTTTACCCGGAAGAATTCCACCATTTCTCAGCAATGACCATCGTCATTATTATAGCCGCAGAGGAAAGACATTTCAAATTGTCAATAAATACGAAGACAACTACCGATTGAGAGAAAAATCGTTTTTGATATGAAATGAAGCACTTCAAATGAAGATGAAATAACTTTAAAAGATTTTGTAAACAAAGCCGATTTACCTTATGTGACAATCCTGATGCTTTTTCCAATTCAAATTTCATCCTTACTTCACGTTTCATATTTTTAATCACTGTGCATTCTTTAACGATATCTGCTACCTTAATGCAATTCAATTTTCATTACATGCTAATTAATTTAAATGTATCTTTTTACATTACATATTATCGAATTTTGAAGTGTGCCCTAACTTATATAACTCAATATAATTTAATTTCTTAGATATTTTCACATAGAAATAAATCCGCGTAAATGATTCTATCCATTTTTTTTTCTAGAATTGACTGAAAAAAAAAACAAAATTCTTAAGAATTATATTTTTAACTCAAACAAGAAATGACCAATAACCTCATCACCAAACATTTCTCGAATTTCTTCATCCGTTGTTTTTGTATCCTCAACAACATCATGCAGAATGGCAGCAATGATTGTTGCTGTATCGGTTATTTGTCCTTCATTTGTTAAAATATAAGCAACACCTTGAAATAGGATAGAATAATATATTCATAAGAATTAGAAACTATTTGAACAATTCAATAAATTAATTGGAAATTAAAACTATTTGCAAAATGTGCATCTTACGGATAAAATTTCGCAAAGATCAATTGGCAAGAGACGGAAATTAATAATAATTAAAGTATAAATGAACGTAAAGATCACGTACGTACCGATTGGATGATTAATATATGGAGTTTGTGTGATATCTTTTCTACGCTGTTGACGATGACGCCGAGCAGCTAAATCCGCAGCTTTGATAATAAGTGATATATCATCAGCAAATCCATTATTGCCTTTTGGCTTACCATTCATCATAGCAAACTTGATCGATATATCCTCCGGCATTCCCGGATAGATCGGTTTATAGGAAGAAGGAGGAGGTATATTATACTTTTCATTACGATCGTCACCTTCCGCCATTTCCAATAACAATTAAAACACTAATAATAATAATAATATAAATAGTTGGAGAAGGTACACAAAAAAGATCAACGTAATTTTTATTTCCTATTTAAATTAAAGACTGAATCGATGAAACAGCAAAATTATATCCTGCACTTTAGTAGACATGTAAATTACTGGTTATTCGTAATAGTCATTACCTTATCGTACCACTCTCTTGCTTCTGTCCTCCCTTTTCTAGTCTCAGTTTTTCATGGCTCTTTAGAAAAATAGTTTACAGACATTAATGATCTTAGTTGGAATTTTGCGCATTAAAAGTTTTCAAATTTCATTTTGAAGCATTTCACAGCTACCAACAAATAGTACCTGTCGCGAATTTCGATTCGCGAAACTTCAACCATACAAACAAATAATCAAATGAATTTTTTATTGTAAACGGATTTCCTAATATCATGACTCATTCAATTAATTCTGCATTCCTTCAAATTATTTTATGACATTCTTGTTTTAACCAAATCCACGTCTTCATATTCACACATTTTGGTATGGTATTTCCTCTGTTAGCAATTACTCATATTATCTATCTTAATTACCCTTTGTTCAGACAAG